CAGTACTTTTGTTTCAAAATTGATTAAGTTCTAACCTCACTGCTTTCAGCACCGCCTAAATTCCATCGTACTGGCGAATCTGTGTATGAAGTAGTGGAGCACGAATCGGTTACTTTGGATTGTGCAGTAGCCACTGAACCGAAACCTGAAATCATTTGGTACCGAGGCGAACAACCACTTTATCTTGCTGGAAATATGGCACTTTCCCCTGATGCAATGGTTAATTTTTCACTTTATTCATTTTATACAAAAATTGAAAGAAATTATACTTGGAAACCAGTTCTCGTTTGGGGGCCAGTTCTCGTAATAGCTGAAAAAAGGTCTTTCGGCCTGCTTAGTATGGCATAATATCTTACTTCCGTTTAGCAACTTACAATTCGCTCAGTATCACTTTCTGACGGAGGAAAGTATACCTGTAAAGCCAGTAATGAAGCTGGATCTTCGGACATAGATTTGATTTTGAAGGTAAGTCTTCAATCATAATTTCTATAGAGTAACTTCAATTCCATTTTAGGTGCTTGTCCCACCAAAAATTGACAAATCGAACATTATCGGCAATCCATTGGCAATTGTGGAGAGAAATATTTACCTAGAATGTCCTGTATCTGGCATTCCCCAACCAACTGTATCATGGACAAAAGATGGACGTCCTGTTGACGTTAGGGATAAGAGAATTGTTTTTGCTCAAGTAAGCGAAATAGTGTTGATTTACCGTTTCTGAGCTCGTCCGAATTGTTTTTTCCAGAACAATCAAACATTCGGAATCGAAGGCGTACGAACAGCTGATCAAGCGCGATATACATGCATCGCTTCGAACAAAGGCGGAACAGTCGAACAAGATTTCAATCTAGAAGTGCTAAGTACGTTAATCTTGTTTACTGAAGTTCTTAGAATCCAAATGATGATTTTTATTTAGCCCCACCTGCTCTTGAATCCACTGAGACGCAAACACATACGAAACGCGAGGGTGACCCGTTGTCGATCACTTGCCCAATAAGATCTGCGGTTGATGTGACATCGGCAGTATCGGATGTCAGCTGGATTAAGGATGGACGACCGATTGAACGAGAAAACAACGCTGGCGTTAAGGTTTACATTTATTATTTCTAGATGAGACGGTGGAAGAGCTATTAATATCTGCTCCATGATGAAGGCCGTCGCCCAAATAGGTTGAAAGCATGCAAGGCGACGCGTAAGGGCCGCGCGAGCAATTGTCAACCATCGGACCTTCGTGGAAGAGCGCT